TGTCAGGAAATCGAGTGCGTTGCATCGCCCAGTGCGAGAAAGAACCAGCTTGAGCAGCTCATTGCTCGCTGTCGTCCAATTTCGCACACTTGCGTCACTCGCCGCACGCATGAACTGCAGTAGCAGTGTAAGATGGAAACAATCATGCCTTGTAATGGGAGTCTGTGGTTGCCTTTGGTCCGGTTTGCTGACGGCTGGTATAATCATGACTGTGTCTGGGGTCACACATTGAGGTGAAGATTTTTGGTTAACATGTTCTTCTGTCGAAGACGCTTCTTTACGACTTTGATCAGTGATAGGGGCACGTTTACCAGATCAAAAGACTGGCAGATCCGCAGGCGGTCTGGTCAGCGAGGATGACTTGAGTATTACGATTCTTGCTAGGTACCAGCTCCTAATAACGCTTTTGTAGTCTGGGGTCAACTCGATGTCGTGAGAGCTTGAGCCGTCTCAGCTGCATGACGTGTACAAAAGCGCAAGGTGCTAAGTGTCATTGTCAAAGGGACATCGCGCTGTTAACGTCATGTGCTCGTACTTGCAGAAGGAGCGCTTTTCTCGACAACAGCACGTCATCTGTGCGCACAATTTTGTAGAGTCTTAACGTAAATGCATTAAAAACATCCCCATCGCTGGATGAATTACCTGATCAATGGTCTGCAAAAAAGCAGTAAAATATGACACTCAGCTTGGCGATTTGGTGGAGAGAAGAAAAGAGAAGAATGGAGGCGCAAGGAACGACAATAGCTGGATAAAGCTTTATGTGCTTGTCATACTATGGGCAGGAAAGCCATCGGACAGCAAAGCACCTAGTGTGTATCTACGGTAGAACAGTAGCGCCGCACCACTCTAATATTGCGCATTGTGGAAGCCACTCTGACAATTTTACTTTTCTCTTGGTGAAAACGGTAGTACCGCATCGTCTAGTCTCGAAATTCTGGTTGACTTGGTGCGACGCAGCACAAGCGTACAGAAATTAAAACAGGGAGTTCCACAACTACTTCTTTTACAAACGTACACCTTGCAAATGAAGACGCGATTCAAATTCGACGAGAAATTTTGTTCAGGGTTTGTCCGACGCCGATTAGTGCTGATGAGGCTAATGTGGTCGACACATTGACATGCGTTAAGACACGAATTCGTACCTTAAGCCTCTTTGACTTGCTCACATTAGCCATCATTATTGTAAAGTGTGGCTTAAGTTGTTGTTACTCAATAAGCGACACCTACGTAATAATTATGAGCTAGGTAAGCGAACTCGAGTGACCATCATGATCTCTTCCCTGTGTACAAGCTCTCGTTCATAGCAATATATATATCGGCCCGTGAACCTATTAAAGTTCACTTGCAACCGCCATTTGTGGCATTCGCTACCAAGAAGTCTTATTTTTATGTTGTGCATCTAAAATGGCAAAGGTGGCACACCAACTGGATAAAGTATTTGCATAAACTTAGGTAGACAAAGTTGTTAAGTGATAGCGGTAGTGAGCACGTGTTGGGTGAGATAGCCAAGAGCGACATACGCCAAGTCACCTTGCGGAAATTTTAAATCCGTACACGTAATCTATATGTGACGGTGCATGTTGGTTTGCTGTGTTGTACAATTATGGAAGACGCTGTTAACATGAAAAACAAAATTGTGATGAAACTTTGATGACATTGTGATGCAACACAATGTAAACGATTCTTGACGTAGTCTGGCGATACGAAGGCATCAGACTTTAACTTTGAATATACTGCAAAAAAACGACATCAGAGGACACAATCGCTAGATAAATTTTTGAGATTCCACGGACTAAACGACAGAGCCGATGGCAAACGCTGAAATGAATGTCAGTGGTTTGAATCGGGCAGGATCTAAATTTAAACAGGACTTCGCTCAATAATAAGTGGGCAGAATATCGACCACGTATAGATCGACGATAAAATATAGCAGCACGGCCAAATGGAAGGATCAGAAGCCAACCTTTCTGCCAAAAACAAAACTTGGTTGCTGTTTCATTCCCATTAGGTCAAAACTCAAATGTTTGTTGGTGATTCGCATTAAGGAGAACTGAGGAAAAATCGTGCGGTCCAAACGTGACTGATGGCTAAAGACTGTTCTTAGCAATACGGCTTAGACCATGGTAAAAGGCTTACGCGCCAGCCAATTTTACGTCAGCTACAATTTCGCTCGGTCTGGCAGCCAAATACACTTTTACATTTCACCAAAAGGAGGTAAAGAAGACAGCAATCTTAAATTGACTTCTTGGTTAAGATATCTTCGTGCTGTGGTCGGAATGCCAAATTGATGAAGAACACACTGACTCCGTGTGCCATCCCAAGCGCTCGCTCTACGATCCGGTGCAGTCGCCAGGAATGTAAAGTCGGACCATCGACATGTTTATTATGAGCTGGAGATGGAGAAGCTAATTGCCGTTTCTACTCAAAGTGAGACGACCGAGACATGATCGGTGTGGCTCTTTACATGTGATAATTTGGTCCCTGCAAGTAAAAACCAGTGAAAATTTGTCGGGAATAAATTTCGTGAAAGACTTGACAAAACAAAGTTTGTTCATCGCAACTACGTTCTGGGCATGAAAATTGAGCAATATTATCTGTCGGTGCGGCAAAATATATTGACAGAGAATATTCTGAAAAAGCTTCGCATGTAATGTCGATCCGCACCTAATTATCCTTAAAATTGTTTTTTGTATCTTGAAGCTTAATGTCGTGCGTCTTTGTCTTATATGTAGCAAAACATGCGTTCAAGTGCCTGCCAGTGTTTGTGATACGGGTCCGACGCAAATTAGTTGAGGTCTTCTACTGTGGCCATCAGGTCTGGTCGCTCACCAGCCGTGAGCTACATCAAGCAACTAACTACATAGCGATACAACACATTATTTATAATTTGTTTGCGTTTGCAACTCCCTTTCAAACCCGCCTTTGGTCAGCTTGAGTCCCCGCTTTAAAGAATATTGACAGGGTTGGGCTGGCGGCGGCAAAAGTCAAATCAATACAATTGGCTGCGCGATCACGACGAACGTCGGATAAATCAGCTGAAGAAGCAAATGCAGCACCCACTTCGACATGGTGTCACACAATTCACAATTCTAGCAAAGTATCTCGTGTTTTGATTTGATTTTTTTGTGCTTTTTTACCATAATATTGTAACATTTCAATAGTAATTCAAATCAATATAATTTTCTCTCATACTGCCGATGCTACCACAGACTACACCTGTTCGACTCAGGCTGCTGTTCAATCATATGTTCAGGATCCAAAGATGGTGGTACGTTCTTGTGATGCTGAAGTGCTATAGGTGCAATTAATAATTAAAGCCTTATCCAGCCATTAATGCAATTGGTAGCGTATCTAATTGAATTGTGGGATCTAAAGAGACGCAATATGGCAGCCAGGATGCAATTTTTTTGAACGTCAGAGTGGATACTACCTGCGTAGAGCTTTCAGAGCCAAAGGTAAGCTTATATGCGCAAAAATAATATGCGAGGATGGACACACTTCAAACAAGTATTTGACGTTAAGGTTTTTCAACTTCAGTATTGCGTGATGCGAGAAAGGACTTTGCGTTGAACTTTACCAATTGAAGCTGGTGCGTTGCCGCCCTTGAAGTTGAGATAACGTCTCGTCTGCACGCATCATCTGTGCGTCCTAAACTTTCACTTTCAGATTTGAGTTGCGAGCTAATTTGCGATTACAGACCACGGTGAGGCAACTCTGGACGCGCGTTATGCTATCTTCCTCCTCCTTATCACCTTCCGCATCAGCAACGCGCCCCTTCGCAAGCGTCAGTCTGACTCCGGAGGAGCTGCCAAAATTAAAAATTTCAGTTGGGATTGGTACTCAACACCAAAGAGCAAGTCGTGAGCGCGATGCCGGCGCCGCAGAGTTTGATGTCGTCCCACCAATCCCCACGAGGACCGACGCCGCGGTTGGATCAGACACAATCGTACCACATAGACAAGCAACGCAATCATTGGCCTCGCCAGCCTCAAATTTTACACCACGGATCACCAAGGTTGGTATGCGTAGGCTACGCTTTGCAATGTCGCTACAGTCATCTCGTGGTCTCACAAAAAAATTTCATTGCGTGCCAGTTTGGCTTAAGCCCCTTGATTGAAGCCGCGGAACGAGTGCGTCATTCGACGACCGAAATTCGAAACCGCCGAATTAGTCGCTCTAGTCTTCTAAAACGCGGAATTTTCCAATTGCAGACACTTCCCTCGACTATGCACACGATGGGCAGCTATCCGCTGGAGACCTCTACGACGCCGAAGCGCGCTTGCATGAGAGCCGACAATGTCCTCAACATGCAAGCATCATACAGTCTGTTGAGCTGCAGGCCACAACAAGAGACTATGCGTCCTAAACAGTCCAAGCAGCTTCAGCCGTACAACGTGAGACCTACAAAAACGCTGGGTCTTGATACCGTATCAAACCTGACAAAATCGAATGGACTGTCCCACCTCTCGGGTGTCTCAGTGTGGAAGGTCGTGCTGATCACTGGCAACTTTCCTCAAGACATTTGTTTCAGTGAAAATGGCACCTCTCCAGTAGTATCGCTTATATCGAACAAGTTTGACTCCGAAAGCAAGGATGGTGGTTTCACCGTAAAAGCTGACGAGTCTGTCGATACAAATCTAGGTCAGTGGTCTGGCGGTGGTGGTATCTACATAGATGCCTTTATTCAAGCAGTACAAGGAGGCTTGCTGCAAAAGGTTGATGATGGCAAGCTTAAAGGCATATCCACGAACATCGGAAACAAAGCGCGCATTCTTAGCGGTTCTACTCATCATGTTGATACACAAGTGGCCCCCGGAAACGCGTCATATAATCCACTCAGTCTTAGTTCGATCATGAATGATGAGTCGAGCTCGCCAATTGCCTTTAATGTCCCTGATAACGTTAAAGCATGTGCAATTTCGAATGAACTTCACCGAAGCCCTTCCTCCGGTTTAAGCGAATTTAAAATAAGGCAAACAACCGCTCATCGTGTGCTAAAACGATCCGACTACTCACAGCACGGTACGGTACGCAGTGGACGCTGGTCGGAAGAGGAGGAATGTTATGCCAAAGCAATGATCGACGCATTCAAAGCAGGTTATCTTCCTCTTCATGGAAATGTTTCGCTGCGTAAATTTTTGTCCGAAATGCTTTTATGCCACCCAATGCGTATTAGCAAAAAGTTTGTGGGATACGTGCGCAAGTATCATTATTATCGCGTCGCTGCTGGCACGTGTGACCCCGGAGTAAGAGCCCAGGTGTTGAACCAGCTGAGTTACCTGGAGCACGCTTTCTGGAAGTCGCAGCAGAACAATGAGTGGTGTAATAGTTTCCGCCGCGACGAATGAGGTCAGAAAAAACATTCGCGTCTGAAAGAGTGTATTTAAGGATTTCAAAATCAATTTGTGACCACGGCAAATCAGTACAAACCGGTAAGGTTTACATGTAAGGTATTGTTTAAAATTCGAGGATTTCGCGTTTATATATCATCTTGTCCACTGCCTTTTTCTCCTACAAATCGCATTTGCAAATAATGACAAAAACAATCATGTAAAATTTACGCAGTTAGGTGCATCAAAATTTGTTACCAAGATCCTATTGCTCCGAATAATATAAACATTAATACCGGTCATGATCATATTTTCAATTGCAGCAACAAACACAAATTATTAACTTGACGCCTAAAACTCCGACTCAGCCAGCACATGTGCAAAACGCACAGTGCTTTTCTTGAAGGCGGCATACATTCGACAAATCACCAGTGGGCTAGCCTCCAACTCACATACTGGCTGCGCTGAATTCATTTCGTCGTCTTCATCATCTAACGCCATATTATCGTAGTATTCTCGGAGAAACGGTCTAGGACAAACGCATCGAAGAACATACTCACGCTGAATCGGTATGACAGATAATGATCCAGTCTCTGTGACACTTGGCTTAGCGAGCACAATAGCACTAACCTGCTGTCGCAAACTTTTTTGCTCCAAAAGCTCCGAAATTTTCAGTCGCTGGCGATGGGATAGGACTGGCAAAAGGAGCAAATTTATAAGCTCAAGAGAAAAGTGATCGTCTTTCGTCATTGGGAAGTAGTGAAGCAGAGCTAACGTTTTAGTAACCATTGCTTCGACGGCTTCAAGTGACAACACAAACTTCCAGCACGCGTCAAGGGCCATCTCAAACGCGACTTGAATTTGTTGATGAGCAGCAGCCATAGATTGCTCCTGACCTTCACCGATTTGCTGCTTGCCGCTACTCGCTGCAGAAAATGCCATTTGTGACTCTGCTAGAGCCTCATCTAGCATAGCAATGGCACGACTGGCATGGGAACGGAGATTTTCTAAACCACAGTAAATCACTGGCGAATTCTCAGCTGATATATGCACAGGTAAAGCGGTCTCTAATGCGAATACACTGCTAGAAATTGCGCCTGCCAGCATTTGGTGGAACAATTCATGCGGAGAGAGTGTCTCCATGTAGTGAAAGACTTTTTCAGATTCTTGCAGCGGATCAAACAAGGGCTTCTGGCGACTTGCTGGCATTGCGACACAAGATTCCCACAGTTGTTGCCAGATATGCTCGTGACCGGGTCCAAAACGCATGCGCTCTGACAACATGCCGTGTTCTTCAAACCACCATATGCCCCGACCTTCCTGCGGTAATTCAGTTTGTGTCGGGTCAATAGGATTCTCAAACGAAATCCAGTCTTTTGGCGAGTACCAGCGGATGAAGTCGGTTAAACAGCAGCGTGGGTTGGCAGCCTTAAAAGCTTGCATATCCGATACAAGCGTCGTGCTTTGAATGTGTTGTCTAAGCCTGTCTGATTCAATACTGACGCCTAAACGAGTCAATAGGTCTTGCTGTTGCCTTGCCACATCTTCCGTCATCGGTACAGCACTTTGAGTCACAGGTTCAAATAAGGGTTCGTTTGTGTGAAGACAAACGATACCGGTAGCTTCGCAAAGAACACCTTCAGGATGTCTTCTTGTTCGAGGAGGTGAAGGCATTGGTACGCTCTCTTGTTCAATCGAATCGAAAAACTCATCGTCACTCAAATTTTCATCACCACCATCCTGATCAGTGAATAATTCCGACATCCCTTTTTCTGTATTGGATTTAATGTCTGCAATTGAGCCAGGTTTCGATTCTTGCGCTTTTCTAAGTATAGATTAATATAGTATCGTACCAAATCGAGACAATTGAAGTATTTCGCGTACCTCATAATGCAGCAGTTAAGCAGTTGAAGTTTCTGGTGCAATAGACAATGACGAAAATCTGGCGGAGGGAGACGCATCGCATTGGTATCTAATAAAAATAGTGCGTCGAGTGAGTGCGAACCAGAATTCTGGTCATCCCCATTTTCCTTTGTGCTTGTGCTCTATATATAATGTTAATATATCAGCAATCAGACAACTCGCTTCGAAGCATCGTACCATGAATGGAAGCAACTGCAGTTGAAACCATCGCTTTCGCAATGCTTTGACAAACTCAACCCACAGCAGCGACATGGAATTTATACCATCTGGATCAGTTCGACAACACCAAATTAATCATTTGATCGTCGTGGCATATATCATCGGTGTTAAAATCAAAATGACTTACGTAATTGTGTCATCCTGGTCGCTAAGATTGACACGAGCTCTCCCAGTGGCGCACCGTGCTGAACAGGACTTGGTAAAGTCATTAATGAGAGTTCCTCTTTCCTCTTCATGTCACAGTTTGAATCTCGATTTTCCTCGTCGCTGCTTGTTTCTCCATCTCCAAACAGCTCTAAAAGAATTTGCCTGATATTCTCAGCGTCTGATCCTTTCCATGTAGCAGCTGATACTAAGCTTGAGATAGCATGACTGAGGACAACGGCAGCGCCACGAGCTGCTGGAATCGATTCAGGAATGATCATCGAGGCTTGATTCCCAAAGCTATTGGTCGATCTACTCGCACTCGACGTGGTCAACGAACCAGGAAGCTTAGTTGAGGATAAATCTATCGGCATTGGCGGAGCCAATTCAGACACTAACATGTCCTTATTTAACTCTCTCGAATTGGAGTAAACCTGCACCAGATTTGCCATTCGCTTGCTAAGAGCTAGTTGCGGCTTTCGTTCGTTTTCCGATAGCACTTCCTCAAATCGAACGTTTAACATCCATTGAGGAGCAGAGCTAGGGTCTAGCGTGGAATGCACTACATTATCAACATATGTACCTTCACACAACTGCGGCCAGCTGACTGTGAGATCCATTCCCTCTAAAGGAGTGCTTATTGTTCCGAGTATAGGGGTTGAATGAGACTTGCCGAATAGGTAACTAGTCATCTGACGAATCTGATCATGGTCTTTCGCTAAAAATTGCGAATCGATCGTCCGCCAAGCTAATGAAGAATCTGATGTCATAATTTCTCGAGGGTCATCTTTTCGATTCCAAGAGTACCCAAAGGAGGCTGATACTGTCATACCGGCGGTTACATCTCCTCTCGACTTGGCCGACTCGACACGAAACATGTCTTCAACCTGTGGTGATAATTGCAACTTGGCTTTAAAAAAGTCTAAAAGACCACTAATACAACTTTGATTGGGATTCAGTTCCGGGACAGAGTCAGTATCGAATTCGAGAGAGACGTTCCCAGTGGAACCGGGTATAGCTGACCCTATCAACATGCCTCGAGATGGTTCCAGCACAGGTACAAATGCCGGCATTGTGCAGTTGCAATTATTCAGAGCCATTGTTAAAGCTGACAATAGCATCCCCGCTTCATTTTGATCGATGTACACGTCGGCAATGATATTTCCACTCTCTATGCTCTGCTTTTCCATCTCATCCTTTGCTGGATTAGACCCATTTCCAATCTCACTTGAATCATGTGCAGCTGTAGCTGAAACTGTAGCTATTGGCGATCTGCCTAACAGTATATATTCGTCTACTCCGAACCACTTGAGCATGTTCTTGGAAATATTTTTTCGATCGAACCACGACTCAGATTCGTCAAATTCCGAGCGAAGAAATAATACCTTCGATCTTCGTTCACTTTCCTTCAATTCAAATTCTGTCACATTCTTTACATCCCACTGGAAGTCACAACTAGCATCAGCCACCGACAACATTGTTGGTGTAAAGTGTTCCAACCCTTGCAGCCATATTTTAGGTTTCCTAAAGGTTGTAGGGATTTCACTCTCAGTCTGGCGCTTAACTACAAACAGCGAGAGTGTGTAATTTTTTGCTCGTTTACCTCCAAACGGTTGAAACTTAAGCTCTTTTGTCCACACGGCAGTGTCAACTGGATTAGGAGACAGATGTGGACCCAAAGCCTCGAGCGATGCGTGTCCTTTACTAGCCAGATGCCACCCAATTAGCGCCTGCTCTAAGTCCGAAACAAACTGCTCGGTGGCTGTGGCGTTCGTAAAGTCAACAAATTGGCTACTGGGGTCTTCTTCCACCTGCATGATGAGTGAAGAAAAATAACGTTTTGATATGATATTTCCACAGGCATTATTATGAATAAAAATCATGCATAAATAAACAATTACCTATTTTTTAACAGCATAATGGTGAACGTACACATTGCATTTTTGTGCACTATGGTAAGAACGATAGGGTTCCGTAACGGAGAAGTCCGTGAGGCACGCAAGCTGTTAGCCCCTCGTCATGCAATACGCAAAAAAATCAATTTATCAGCATCGTAAATCCTAATTCGCTGTCATTCTTTAAAAAGACATGCATCTAGTTACTGCAGTGATCTCGATTTCGCTTCTGGGTGCAGCGTATTAAATTTATCATGTAAGATATACAGCGACCCCTTACCCAGTCATCATAGCTTGAGAATGGTATGCGAGTTATTCAATCGTGTGGCCCAAGGAAAATCAGAGAAGATAAGTAAGACCATGTCTATAATTTTCAGAGAAGGTATGGCCCAAGAACAGTTAATCGTCGCCTGGTTAACCCGCGACAGTTACGAGAATGTGCTAGTGAGACACTTTCTGTAACGGGGTTACACGTACCTTGGAAACAGGGGTGTGTGTCAGACGAGATGTGCATGGTGTGTGACTGCACCCAAACAAGAATACGGTATGTGCGCTAGGTAGCCAGTAGTTATGCATGTATTTGGATTTTACTATACATATTTAGTATATTTGGGAAAATCTAAACTTTTAAAATTAGGATAGAAAATAATTAATAAGCAGTTTTCGACTTTAAACCGAAGAGTCAATTAGCCTTGGGAAGGCAATAATTACTCTTGGAGTAAGCGGATTGCGATCCGCTAACTAGTACTTGTTCTAAGTATAGAACGAAAGGTCGGGGACCTAAATCACGCTTCCTCAAGCGCTAAGCTACGGCAGCCTCGCTGCACTTGGTAGCACTTGTAGTC